TAATAATCCTTTAGGTGAGTGTATTTGCATAGTATGACACAGTACAGTTGTTTTTTTTAATCCACCGTGATTGTGATGAATTTGGCAAGAGAAGAAAAACCACAGAAATGGCTCTTGCACACAAGCCAGTAACTAAGCAAGATGGTTTATTCTCTATGATTTAATTAGGGAAGGCATTGGCTTTGGAAGACAATGAAAACCAACCATCTAGTTTCTTATATCACCCCAACTTAAAAATATAAGTATACTCAAAAGAGTATTAAATAAATTTTTGAGTCAAATTAGTAGAAATGAGTGAATCCAACTTTTAGGCAAAATTAAGTTATATTAACTTATTTCTATTATTAAGAAGTGCTGTTAGGTTTTTACAGTGTATATATGATAAGCAGATGGAAGGTTGATGATTCATATACTTTTCTAATGATAATTCTATGACTGACTGTTTGTTTTCCTACAAGCTAAAGAAAGAAGTTCCACCCTGAAGACATTCAGTTATTTAATATAGGAGTAATTAGTAGGAATAACTGTGTTTACCGAGTACGTATTGTAGGCTGCCTTTATTATTTTTGGGTGTTACTCCCGGTCGAGGTTTTTTTTTATTCCCAACAGTTCCTTTGTTTTTAAATAAAGAAAAAACATTTCTTTTATAATAATTTTGGTATCTGATTTACACTTGTGGATTCATGGTGGGGTAAATTGAATTTCATTGTGCTATATTTAGCCATTGGTGTTGGTAGGTTGTGATTATATATGTGTGAGATTGGTGATTTGACAAGGAGACAGAGTCATTATAACATATCCCATATCTATCTTATGAGAGACGTGTTGATTTCGAACCCAGGGCTCCCCCTCTTAAAGCTAGGTTTATTCACACCTAAGAGGGAGGGGAGTGCTACAAATAGGAAGTCTTTATTGCCATTGTACAGGTAGAAAATACAATAGACAGAAATATATATAATGCAGATATACAGGGGAGGGGAAAAGCCCACCCCCATCAGGATTATATTTTATTTTAATCAGAGAGAGAAAAGTACAGAGTAAAAAGGGTTATACTGGTTAAAAAGTAGATATTTTACTTTTTGCCATGGAGAAGCAGCTACATGTGACACTGATAAAGTAAAAATGATTCCTCCAGCACACAGTGAACTATCCCAGCATGCACAGGGACACGGGGGAGTTTAGAGAATAAACCCCAAACCCTGGATAGAGGGGTTCAGTGAATGAGGAGGTGAAGCTGTACAGGAGGGTCAGTCCATCAGAGGAGACCCTGTAGAAGGACAGAGTACCAGCTGCCCAGTCCAGATACACTCCTACTCTGTGGGAATCTGAGGGCTCTATGGGTATGTCAGTCTGGTTATTATTGTGATGGACAGAGTATCTGTCAGGATTGCAAATCAGCATCCATGACTTGTCATTGAATCCAAGCGCACAGTCATAGCTCCCTCCTTTCCTCCTGATTCCTTCATAAGTCACTCCTATATCAGCTCCATATCCACTCCACTCAGCCTCCCAGTAACAGCGACCAGTCAGGCTCTCTCTGCACAGAACTTGGTCCCAGCTGTCAAATCTCTCTGGATGATCAGGATATGGCTGCTCTGCCCCCCATGTCACCTTCCTGTTCCCCTCTGACAGAGACAGGTGTCTGTGTGCTGTGTTGGGGTCCAGCGTCAGCTGGCAGGAGTCTGTAGGCAAGAGGAAGAGCGATTAATCCCATCATGAAGCCCAGCATCTCCATCATTATCACTGTCACACCTCACACACTCACTAA